TAACTTGACTGACTGATTGACATTGTTCTAGCGCTGTTCGTATCCCAGTGTATTCTTATTAACAAAAGATAATTCTTCCTGTTTGGTTTTATGCAACTCCCATGAGTTTACTCATACTGGATTTTCTGACTGGAATTAGAAACGCAAGCGTTCCGAGCAGCGCGCTGCTCTGACCCACACTTGTGAAGATGACTTTTTCTTCATTAATCAGTTCTGATGTTCGCTGTTTGTTTATTAAAATGGCTAAGCTAAGGGATCTACTGAGTTAGCGGTTTCCTCCCAGCAATATGTATTCTGTTGATCTATATACTACCCCAGCGAATTTAATTTTCAAACTGGGCTGACCTAGAGTAAACTAAAAAGGATTTAAAACCAAGAGTTTAATGTGCGAGTGCTTGACATCGAAGTCATGGTGAGATATCGATTACATTAAATGACTCCATGTGCAAAGGTTTTTTCTAAGTCCTCCGATTACAAATCCATCTCACCATTTACTCAGCGGTCTCAGATTCTCGTTTCACTCTGCCGCCCTTGCCACCGAAATTGAAGTAAACCGGGGAAACGTTTTTTAACGGACTTTCTCTAGTAGATTGTCAAACTATATTTGGATAAGTTTTTGTTTTGGTGTAATGTTGATATTTTTTTCTTTTCCATCACTTTTCATTGTACAGCTGTTGTTACTACTGGCGACCGAGGCACCATTTAATTTCCTTCGTCCCTCGACTGAAGATATTGATGAACTCATAGACTGGCTTGTCAATCGTGATCCGAACTCATTTGTCCATATTTTGGCCCGGACTCTGCTGCACCGATTGAATTGGGAATCATATTTGAACAAAGTATGTGGGAAAATGTTCTATTTAATGTACTATTTGTGGTTTATTTCCAGTCACATTCGCTTATGACGTCTGTCATCCCAATTTTGTTCGATCAAATCGGTTTTGAAAATTGCGTTCCATGTGGACTGTTTAAACGGTACATCTACCTCACTTTTCACGACATACGTAGTGTTTGCTCCTCACATTGTTCCGAATGGACCAATTCCTAGCCCGAGCTTACCCGATGGCGCCTCAGTATTCCGTTGAATGGAATAAACTGGTCGGATTGAGGAAAACAAACAGAGCAACGGGAACAGTAATTTACGGGAGCCGAGTCAATACATCCAACACTAATTTGTGCGGAATAATCACAGCACAAGTGGTAGTGCTGGGACAATCATGCCACATGTCACAACACAGTAATTATGTAACTTAATTGGCCTTTCTATCAGACTTATTTGGTTACAAGCTGAATTGATATCACTGAGGGACTTCAGTAAGGAACAATACTCATCGCGGGAAGACACTTATTATAAAACACAATCCGTTAGTTTTCGTGCTCCATTCACCCATTTGCAGGTTGTATTCAGAAAGTGGTTTTGGAACTTCCCACGCATACGACCGCTGAGTTGTTTAGTTCTGCGACCTCGTTTCCGGTGCCCATTCAATTAAAATGGGCCTATTAATTAACCAGTGGTACAATAACCGTTCGCCATGGGCGGACGCACTCACATTGCACAGGCGAATTGGTCGTTGTTGATCGCCGGATGGGTCGCACGAATAAATCATAACCATCAGCATCCTCATCGTCATCACTTTTTCACAGAAATATACTTTTTCTCGAATATCTTTATTACTACAATCAATCTGATGTCGGTTTAATTTAATCAGAATCCCAATCGGTATGTTTGTAACTTACGTTCTTTCCAGGAGAATGATGAACCATTTTTGCCACTCTCGATGCATTTGAAACTGGCCGTGGGTCTAGCAAAGCTATCAGAGAAACGAATCCTACACGGAGCTCGGTTCTTACACATTCAAAATCACCCGGTGGTGAGTCACGCTCATATTGTATTCATGACGTTTATTCTTAACTTTGGAATAAGTCCTCAGGCTTTTGATGTCCAAAAAGACGACCGTGTAGTCTAGAGGGTTCATAAAACTAACCCATTTTCATGCACGGTACTGTGATTATCCTTCCAGTTTCTTACAAATCTCTGCACTTCAAACAGAATGAATTGGCGGCAGCCGTGGTCAGTTCATGGGGTTCATGAGATTGAGCAATGCCATGATTGTCGCACAGCTTACTCTGTTTTTTTTGCTACTCACAAATTTCCGTGGAGCGCTTAAAAAACTAGGTATCGCGTAGCACAACAAGAAATTAAATTTGACCGATGTCGTGGGATGTTAATGTGAAGTGGTAGGCAACTTTGCTGTCTTCCGGTTCAATACCACGCCTAACCTAGCGAAGCCTTATGTAGTTCGCCGCTCCAAGTCCTGGCGCTTAGGTTACCGGTTTCCATCACTGAACAGCAGGTCTTCGCGACTATGGGCTCCACCCCGTCTGCTATTCATCACACAAATGTGTATGTAATAAAAAAGTGAACTCCTGAGGCTTGGGTCGGATAGGCTGTGATTAACAGGTCCGACTACCAACCCCAAACTGCCCATATTCAGATTTCATCATTTTCAGTGAATATATGCGCTGATGATTCATAAGAAGCCGGATGACACAGTCATAAAGTGATTTCAAGGCTTTCTGATTGTCGGTGATACCTCAAGTCTCCTTGACAAATGCACATTCTGACGGATTAGAGCTTCTGAGCGCTCAGTGAATATACGAAAGCTATTTAGACGCCTAGCGTGTTAAACAGTAGACGCGCGGATAAGCGTGATTTGACCGGAAGTTTGAGGGGCTATGTTAGTTTACACAACTGCATGGATTGTCATTGATCAAATAAAGGTCACAGTATTATTGATCCATCATTCTTCTGCCATCCTTTTCACGGTAGTCGTTGTTGCCGATAGTTAGTGCAGTATCAACCCCGCATATATTCTCCTGGTCCATAGCATATTACATCTGGGGCAATATCCTCATTGCTGTCTGCTAATATACACTTCCCCATCCTTGCACAAACTGAGTTTCTTCATTCTGTATTCATGCCCCTGCTCAAAAGTACCGCTGTGATATACGTACAATCAGAATAACCAGTTTTCAGTGTCATTACCGATTTTGAACCCCATCTGTATTTTTCGTCAACTTCTTCCAGATTACTCTTTTTCAGTATTATGTAAGCCATTTGCCGTCGTTTGTTTTACTGGCAATCCACGCACCGACTGTATGCC